AGAGAGAGAGAGAGAGAGAGAGAATGGATTTGCTACCCACACTAGCTCGGATGGTGCCTATCAGAACCATTCGTTTGCTTTGAGATCCGAACTTTTGAGTGGATAAGGTTATGATTTTATGATTTGTTGAATTTCGCCACTGCAATAGAGGAAAGCTTCGACGTACCTTTTGCTTGTCAGTGGCCGAAAATGGAAGCCTACTACCTGGCTTTTGCAGGTGTATTCGGGGCAAGTGACTTCGCCCCTTTATGAGCTAGCAGGGTGTGGCAGTAGCTGATTTCGGCAAGCATGTGACAACGGCTAATTTCGGATATTTGTCAAAAGTTCCACGGCGCGGTGTCCTGTGCACTGTTTTAAAAACTGCTTTTTTCGTCTGGCAAGCTGTGAAGCGGCTGGCACCGTTTGTAAGATGCAGCATTTACTGTACCGGGTTTTGTAAAAGGTGGTAAGGCTTTGCCGTTTTTAGTGAACAGAGGCTGCCATGCATGCGCAGCAGAGGAGTAAAACACGCCGTGTTAAAAAGGGCATAGGACAAGCAGCATTTACTCTACCGCGCCGTGTTAACTGCAATCTGCACAGTAAAGAAAGGCTGCCATGCATGCGCAACAGGGCAGAGGGGTAAACACGCAAACAGCCACACGCAAACAGCTCGTAATTATCTGAAGCCACCGTCCATCCATTTGTTCTGTATATATCACGCGCCCTGCTCGTTGTTTGCTCCGCGCGCGCGCTCTGTACAACTTTGTATCTAGCCACCGGTGAGATGGAATATTTGGGAGATGGCGAAGGGACGAACGGAAACCGGGGCTTGGCCGTGAGCACAGCTGGGGGTGACGACGCGTTTGCAGGAGCCGTTGTTGCTGCAGTCGAGGATGCCCAACGCGAGAGCGTTGCACTGGTCCACTACATCGGTCGGGAGGTTAGTGAATGTGTTCTTTGGCTCTTGGTTGTGAGCAGAAGTTTTCGCTGCTGTAAGGTAAACCGGTGTTTGTTTTCCAGTACGTTGATCGGCCCAACAACTTGGTGCCTCTTACTTTGAAGCAAGTTTCCATGCTAACTCCTTCAGCCAGGCATGGGGGGGCACTATCGATACATGGGATGCCTGTCAACACGGTATGCACGAGGGTGCACACATGTTTGTTTTGCTGTTTTTGGCTGTTTTCCCCATACATTTTCTTCAGTAAAAACCCCTCCACCCATTCCATTTGTCTGCAGGCACGACTGCTTGGTAGGGTGTGGAACCGTACGGAATCGTCGGAAGAGATCAGCTTCGTTCTAGGCGATGGCACTGGGTCTATCGAAGCCAAGATATGGTATTTTTCTCGCGTAATGCATGGTTAGAAATAATTTTCATGCCTTCCGCAGACGATGACAACTTTGACGACTGTTGCATTCTCAGGACAATAGACGGGGAGTACATGCGGGCGTTACGTGAAGTTAGGTTAGCTCCTGGGATATTGTCTTGTAATTTTTGCAATGGTCGCTTATGTTCTGTATAACACCTGGAAAAAATGAACCTTTCCCGTATAACGCTCGCAGGAATGGAGACTACGTTGTGGTTAACGGCTCTATAAGGACGCGGGATTCTGTCATGCATATACGAGCCTACTCAATCAGGTTTGTGTCGGACAAAAAAATGGATTCACTCCCCTCTTTTCGTCAGTTTAGAAAATGATTGTTCCATTTTGTTAACCATGTAGGGCTTTTGTTTCTGCAGGCTTGTGACTAACTACAACGAGATTACTAACCACTTCCTCCATTGCATATACGTCTCCCTCGATCTTCAGAAGCAGGCAGGCTCCATCATTTTTGTAATGCGCGTCCTGAACACCAAAACATGCCACCTTTTTTTACGTTGACGTCGATGCTTTATTTCTACAGTTGAGGGAGAGAGAAATGGATATTCGTCGGGCGAATCTGGTGGTAGCCTCAAACGAGCAGTCTCAGGCTCCCAACGGCGCGGAGAAGCTTTTTGGTGATGTTCTTCAAGTTTTCTACTGTCCAGGAATAGTGTACGTGCCTGTCTTCCAAGATAACAAAATTCTAGCACGCCCATTATCACTCCCCCCCTGACTTGCTCGGCCCCACCGTGTCAATAATATTCAGCGAGCTGGAAAACGGGGCTTCGTTCTCTTTGATTCAATCTGAGACAGGTGCAGATGCGGACCAACTCAGGTAAAGAAAATACTTTTGCAGTGCATACTAGCAGCTTACTACGTCTGGTTGGGTGCCTTACAATCTCTTCAAAACAGGACTGTTATCGGAGCTCACGTCGCTATGGGCAACCTTTTCACCACCATTGATGATGACCATTTCAAGTGCTCGTTCAACGGATAAAAGTTGGTTGAGATGTGGCGCACAGTACGTCTACTTCTTCAACGGGAATGATTTCGGTTAAAGATCTCCGAGAAATGACTATCCATTGTTTTTCCATTTTGTAGTTTCATTCTGTTGTCTCATGTGTAAGTTTTTCCCATGGTTTTGTTGACCTTGATACTAGCACAAAAAACCCTGAGTATCAACTTTTAATTCATGCAATCATCCCTGAATGCATGGGCGGGCTCCTTCAGAAAATTAATCATTTTTCAGAGTGCCCCCGGGGCTTAGCAAATTTGAAAATACAGGTTAGATCTAAGAACCGGATTCTAAGCATGTAGAAGGGGAAATCATCAGATTCTTATTACATAACCTTGCGATAAAGTTTTAGAAGGAAAACTACTAATATCTGGGAATTATTTTTGTTAAGTTCTAATCATTGCGACACGCCTCACAAGTCTTCGTAGATGTTCTGATGATGCTGGAAGCGACAATCCTGCGAAGCTTCCGTGTGCGCCTCTCAGCAAACATTCTGGCAAATCTTGAATTTTGTTGGGAGCTGCCCGATATTGCCGGCTAATCCCAATACTTCATAAAAAAGAATCATCCTAGATTGGTCGATCTCATCCCCCATCTGTGATAATAATAATGACAGCATGTCAGCTAAGTTGCCCGTGACAAAAAAGACTCCAGTCCACCCACGCCCCCCCACCCCACCCCCCCTCACCACCGCCACCTTACTCCCAGCATGAGTGTTTTGATTGTACATACCGGCGATAAAGTCCTCTGTAGCTTCGTCCCCATCCACTGCCTAGCATAGTGTAGCGCCATGACCCCGCTAGAAGCCCTTTAGGTGTTTTTTAACATAACTTATTCAGCAACAGCTCATGAACTATGAAAACAGAATGAAAGAAGTTTGCATGGCGTATCTGATACCTGCTGCAGACCCAAGGTCCAGTTGTGAGTTTTGGGAACCAGTTCTGCCATCCTTTGGTCTTGGGTGTCCAACCATCGAAGTATTCAGCTATGCATTCCATTAGCGCCCCGCGTAGCTCATCTGCTATTTTTATGTGTTCGTTGCGCAATTCATCTGCTGGTCTGTCCCCGTTGTTGATCATAGGATCTAAAATGGTTGTCCTCCTCCTCGGGAAGTCGAATATATATGTTGACCAAGCGTGCGCATGATGCACTGGCAAGACCATCTGAAAAAAACATAGATGTGTTGTGTCACTGGAAAATGTCTACGAAACAACCATTAGTTTTAGGAAAAGAACACGATAAGAAATGCGAGCGAGTGTTACCATAGGGCATCTGTTGACATCATGCGAGATGTGATGCCCAACAAAAATGTTCCTTACATAGTCATTATGGATGAATCCTCCGCCTCGCAATACGTGGCTCTGTACAAACAGTGGCGGGCAGACAAAAAAGAGATGTTAAACACCCTCATCTCGACACGATGATGGTTTTGTTGATAGTTTCAGGATTTTCCTTACCATGAAGTCTGGTTCCAAGTAATGCCTCCATGGTGAGTCGCCATATTTTCTGGCCCAAGCATTCTCTAGCTGCTGGAACCTCCGCATAAAAACATTCATCAAGTCTATCTCTATGAAACCTCCCACGCTCAACTGTCTTTTGAGTACGATGCCCGTCAGCTCTATGTAGCTTGGAAATGGACTAACAACCCAGTTGCTGCAACACATCATTTGACATCCAAACTTGCGTTAAATGATTCACTTGGAAAAAAGTGTAGTAGTCAGTGAATAACCGTGTTTTAGCCAACACTTACTTGCTTAGCACTGCTCCGTCCATCTGGGAGAATGTTAGATACAAATGTGTTGCATCTCCTGAAGCCCTCTCGGACAAACGATATTGCATGACAAACGGCGATCGGCCGGCAGGCCCAGGGGCAACTCTCCTTTTGGGTGGTGGTGCGGGTAGTGATATTTCCTCAACCGGTTTGTTCAGGTTTACACAGTCTGCCTCTACTTCCTCTCTGAAGTCCAAAAGGCCAGTGGCTACAGACCTAGTGCAACTAACCGGTGACACGTGTGCCACCACACGGTGTTCTTGTGTGGGATGTATAGTTGCGCTCCCTATGTGAAAGGGGGTTGATGGTGTCACCTGGTCTGCAGACCCTGTTTTATAGAGACAAAAAAACTCTGTTATTAATAATACGAAGACCCCGAAAATAGAGTTGTGTGTTATGCTGCGAAGAGGGAATGCTGTTTACCAGGAGTTTTAGTGGAGAATTCACCAGCGCCGAACAGGTCTTTCCGCGTGATGCCCTTTATGGAACCAATGCTCAACGAGGTAGGTTCTTTTGCTTTATTGCAAGGAGGTGTGAAGACGCCCAGGTCAAATGACGGCGTCTCCTCGATAAGTGGGTGTCCAGACGGGTAGTTCCATTGACGCCTGTTGTCGAAGTTGGGGTCTTGAGCACAACAAACAGAGTATGTTGCTGCACCATCCTCGACATCTTTTGCGCCTGATGATTGACCTCTACTTGCAAGTTCCAGGATGGAATCCCTGGTTGCAGTGGAACCGTCAACAATCTGCTTGCCTGACCTGCTGTACCTCTCTGCTTCTCTTATCAAGCTGTCTAGTGCGATGTTGACGACAGGCGAGCTGTCTTCCGGGTTGCCATCTTCCAGGGCAGAAGTTGAACGTATTGCTGTAGGGTGTGATAAACAATCATTCACATTATCTTCGCTGTCTGTGATGTCCATGACGCCTGATGGCCCGCACTCAAATGTTACCTTCTTCGGTTTCTTTGCTATCCTTTTGAACCGCCTAGGAGTCACCTCGACAACGTCCGGTGATGAGTTTGTGTTGCCCTGACACCCGCCGCTCGCTGGAGGTGTTGGTTTGGCATTGCAAGGCGTTGACACAGCGAGATCTGGTATTGGGGATGCGTTGCGGCAATTACCAGAATCAACATCGACACCTGAAAAATGGGCATCATGTGCCAAAACTTAGGTCACCACAGGGGCAACGATTTTTTTTTTCTGTGGACGTCGTATAAAAAAACGCAAATAATTGCATTTGTTACCTGATGCACCCCTTCGCATCCTTATCGCAGCATGTTGCCTCTCGAAGTTTTTGAAGAACGAAAAGAATTCATCCCTCATTCTTTTGGCCTCCTTCTTTATTTTTTGTTGGGCAGAGTTTTCCAAGGTATTTAGTGCACTGAAATGACGGTGGTTCTCCTCTTCTTTCTTCCTTGCAGTGGAAATTAGAACCTCCTCACAACGGGCTGTGAACTTTGATATTTTGTCTAAGACGAGGTAAGAAGCCTGCTCAATAAAACAAAAAGGAGGTAATGAGTTATATGCCAATTTTTTGGTTTTTGTCGATCCTCAATTTGCGTATGCAGTGCAAGTTCCTTTCATGTTACAATGTATATACCTCCTTAATGTCTAACGAACCACGATTTGATGGAACAGAGCTTCGAGAGTCACGACTGGCTGATGTGCTTGCTGCCCGTTGCCTTGTTATAGGGTTTCTGTGATAACAGACATCTGCTGCTGGTCTTGGCTGTTTGTATCGGGAAGATTTTAGTGGGTGATTGTCATAGGAAAACGCTGCATATATGAAGGAGATGACGCAAAATTTGTGTGGGGGGAGAGGTGGAGGGGGATAACCCTTACCAGGAGTCTGCCATAGATGACTGGGTAATCTCCCTTGCGCGACTTGATGTCCTTTTCAATTATTGATCTGATAGCTGCGTAGCTGTACGCCTTCACTCTTGGGCGCGCGGTGTGGTCGATGTTCTGCTCTCCAACGTCAAGATTGTCAATATAGAACACCTGTGGAAAGCGAGTTCGGTCAAAGGTAAGGTCAAAAAACGGCATCCGTGTTAGAAAGAACACACAAAAAAATGCTGGCGTTGCCCTTGGATTTTTGTGAAGTCTTACCTGTACAAATGGGAGGCAACCTGATAGATTAGACTTCAGACGCCCTCCTAGAAGGTCTGCCTTCACCCTCTTCGCCGCAACTAACAGCTCTTCCCTTGTATATCGGCACCAGTTGTGCATATGTATGAGCTCTGCCGTTGCCAGCGCGCCCCAATAATCAGTACAGAAGTAGTCGTTCTTCATTGTTGGAGCGAGGAGGTATGTGCATGCGCATATGACCAGCCCCACTTTGAACCTGTTCTTCTCGTGTGTCGTCATAGGACGCCCGTATGTCTGCTTCACAGCTTCAACGATTGGCAGTATGCTGTGCTCTCCTGGACCAATTCCAAACATCTCTCTTATCTGTGTCACCACTGCCTCCGGAACAGCGTGGTCTGGAGGGCGAACAGGAGCAGTTCCACATGGTATGCCGATGACCAGTTTGACATCTTCATCAAAAAATTGCATGTCGCGTTTGTGATCAATTGTAATTGAACTTGCCTCCCCATCGATGTGGCTTAGGATAGACATCAAGAAATGCCTATCCGTCCTTGTTATCTTTGGTAGCTCTAGCAGGCCCCCAAACTCCATCTCGGCTACATACTGTCGTTTCTCCTCATCAAATGAGGAAATCAGGTCGTGCAACTTCTTCACGCTGCACCTTGACCCGATTGAGGGTGCTTTTCCATTGACCTGGATCTGATCTTCCTCGTCCGAATCAGACTCGGCGACCGCGCCTCCTGCAGGAAAACCAATCCCCTCTTCGTCTTCTGATTCAGATGGAACGTCATCAATCTGTCGGAGCGTGCTAGGTCCCGAAGCAGGGACCCCGTAGCCGTCCATCCTGTGACAAACGAAAATGGCAAGAGAAAAGTTAATTTTCGGATTTCCCGACAGCTAAATTACACAAATACACAGTTGCCATTCTCTAGATAGAGAAATGAAGGTGGTGCTCAGAAGTTCATGCCTAGAGAAGTAAAATGCTCTTGCTAAGAAAAAAAAGATTAAATCATAATCGTTTTGCGTGAGGAAGCGACTGTTTTTTTCAGATTACTACTTGCTAGATTTCTTACTATCTTGTTGGCAAAAAAAAGATCTAAAAAAAATCATATTTAGAGCTCCTAG